CACACGAAAAGTAATGAAAAATAGAACAAAGCAACACTAAGATTAATAATTTCTATTTTTCAAAGTTATGAGGAAGCACCCTACGAATCACACTTTAAAAAAAAATATATCTTTGATGTCACATAATATGAAGTGAAATTTACCACCAGATCTCAATTGAGAAAACCAAGTATAAATAGATTTTCTTTTTGGAAAAAAAAAGTGTAAATGGCCGCAGTGCCTTTTAACCATATTGATTAGCTTGGAATGATTGATCAACCATGACTTGATCATTGACGACATTGATCAGTGGCCAGTCGAACAAATATACTTCTCCAGTTCTAAATATAAAATCTATTTTGTAGTGTAAATTACACTATAAAGTGGGTCTTATATTTAGGATCGGAGTAGTATATATTTTTTTGGTGATAACAAATACATTTTATTTTAATGTTGTTTACAATTTAAATATTATAACATCTTAACATCTACAAGTTGAGTTAATTCATAAGTAATCATTGTACTTTCCTATAATAAAATTGCTTAGTAAGGAAATTGTTTGTCACGCTAGTTATTATACTCACATTAAATGGAGAGTAACATACACAACGCATGTAATTATTGTGAAGCCAAAATAAGATCAACAATTTTTATGCTATAAAGTTGTGAGGAGGTCCTCCGTGAATTACATATGAAAAAAAATTAATATTTCATAATAACATAATATTAATATGCAATAAAAAAAATAAATGATATTGATTCAAATAACAATTTTATGGCCTGAGAAATTTAAATGATTATTGATATCAATAGCTTTGCTCCGTAAGGCTAACAGAGAAATCTTCAGAACCATGTGGATAACAGGTGAGGAGAAAAATACGACGATGTGGTGGCGTGCTCCCCAAGCAGTTATAAATGACATGGAAAGCATGAATAGGTAAAGGAGAAGAGAGTACTAGTTGTAATGCCAAGAGAGGCTGAATCCTCCTTCTGCAATCTTCAATAAGTGATTTGTGGAATATTGAAGCTTGAGAGATGATGTTACAACCTGCATTATGATTCCCAATAATAATATCACTCTCTTTTAATGTCAGTCTCCTCAATAATGACCAGCGAGGGATGGTATTGGGAATAAGTAGTGTTGTTAATAATGTATCGTTCCTCTTACTATCATGCTCATCGGCCCCTTCTTGTTCATCTTCCATTAATAATAACATCGTCTCTACTACTTGATCACCTTTACTACTCATTTCTCTCTCATCCTCACCCTCTTCTTCATCGTCTTTCTCACCCGACACATGCACGTCAATAAGATAACTGTCACCTCTATTGACGTTTTTAAAACAAGGGTCAATGTGATAAGAATGACGAACATCATAGGTATGATGCTCATTGAAATCATGCTCAAACTCAATTGGACTATCTAACCAATCAACTCTCCTCACAAATGGAAGTAAAGTCGCCAAACTTTGTATTCCCATTATCATAAATTCTGCCGTCTCTACCAATGGCATTCTCACATGCTCAAATCCAATACCACAAATCATCTTGTCACATACCAACACCTTCATTGTCACTTTATTGAATGTCGAAGTGACAAGATCCAAATAATTGTCCACAATCACTAACCCTGATGAAATTCTCCCTTTCATATTGCCCCCAATATTTATCTGCATCGGTCCACAATCTTCTATTAAAAATAGGATACCTTGTTCCGGGGCAGTCGAAGAATGGATTTGACCCAAATTCACACAACCATGAAGATTCATCCTTTCAATCATAGGGGCTTGAGATAAATCTAGGAGTTCCTTGAGATTTTTGGAATAACATAGATCTATTTCCTTTAGATTTGGAAATTGCTGGGGGAAAAAACAAAGCAGCAGTGTTAAATAAATTACATAACTACACTTACGTACAATTTACTCAACAATTTTTCTCATGCCCATTACAAGAATAGTTGGACTCCCGCAGATAGTACAATTACTACTACCATCAATTTAAAGATAATAATAAAGCAAACATTTGCATTGTGAATTATTTCAGTCAATGTTTCTTAGAATCACAACAACAAAAAATTATGACATATGAGAAACTATATGTACCTGATCCCTAAGCTGTTGGATATTACTGTTAGGCAAATTAAGTTCAATGAGATTCTCAGCACAAAATTGTAATGGCACAGATGGCAGTGGATATTCTTCCCAACTAAGAAACCTTAATTCTTTAGAAAGATAATCCAACGGTTCACAAATATTCAACTTTGAAGGATTTCCCAGATCTGACTTGTAAACTTGAAGGGATATTAAATAACGCATCCTTCTAAAATGACTAGCCATCAATGTGATGCTTTCTATCTTGCTTGCATCCAATGACATGCATCGAACTGCCTCAATTGCTTGGTAATAATATCAAATCAAGGGAAGCACAATTATCATTACCTAAAAAAATGACCATAAATACTATAAAACAATTAAATATATTAACTTTTATCCAAATTAACACCGCTATATCCATTTTATTCAAAATTCCTTACAATTCATGTTTTTCCAGTAATATATGAATTTCTCAACAATCATAAATACGCAACTAATGGGTATACCTATATGCATGTGCAGATATTTAGAATATAACTATAAAAGCAAAAAATTATTTGTCTTTTATTTTCCCATTGGACTTCAAATAATGGTCAGTTATGCTCACACGTGTATGCATATAGCACTTAATGAAAATTCTCTGTACACTAATTTTATCTTTTAAAATAACACATCACGAAAGTCCTAGCTAATTTTAAATTATAATTCCTTTTAACATTACTAATTGTTATTGCAATCCTGTTTATCTTCTTCATGTCTAATGATGAGCATTGAATTGCCTCAGCCACCTACTGATCAAATTGTGGGGGAAAAAATCAGTAATATGTAAAAGGTAATCCAATAATAAATAGAACAATTAAATATATTTTTTAGGAATTTCTAAATGAATATGCTTTTAAACTTTATTCAAACAATTCATTTCATCTTGCAATAAATAAATCGGACAAAACAGATACACACGCAGGATGGCGCGAACAAAGGTTAATCTAATTTTTTATCCTCAAGCTTTAAACTATAAATTTTGATTTCTCAAATTTCTTTTCATGTAAAATATTAGTTATTCTTTACCAAAAAAGATATTAATTCTTATAATTTAATAAAAACCCAACCTATGGTATGAAACTGAAGAGATTAAAACCAAAAGTCATGTAAATTTAAGGGACCAAAGTTATACTAACCTTTCGTATTAAAGAAAAACTAGTGTATATAAAAACCCTGGCATCTATAAAATTTCTAAAACTATCTTTTTCTGTTCAGATTTCATAATAAGTACTTTTTTGCAATATTAAATTTTTATAAGAAAACGCGTGAGGGTGAGAACCATGTGCAGTGTGTGAGAATACACACAATCACTTTTATACTACATCAGATATGAATTAATATGAAAAAAGGTCAACCCTTTGTCGATAATTTTATAATTTATATCTCGTGCTCTAAATTTTTTTTCTGAAAAAAAAAACGCCTTATATCATGCTAGTCATATTCTATCTCAAGACTTTAGGAAAACGAATATTTCAAAAGTTTAAGAAGATTAATATAATGAACCACACCTAATAGAAAGACTATGACCGCAGCCAATTTTAGTCAAACAAAGGACTTCTTTTATTGGAAAAAAAAATCTGATTCCGCAAACATTGAGACTAACTGAAGATGTTAATGAATAAACAAATAACTTTTAGAAAAATAAATGACAGCGAAATGAACCATTAAGAGAACAAAAAATATGATAAAATCTAAAAAAAAAATTATTACCTTGTCATTGTTGGAAAAATAATGATAAATATCCTCATGCCTCCACAGCCGAATGGGATTGTCAGGATTAGATTTTAATTGTTGCCCAGAAATTTCAAGACCCGTATCGATTAGTAGAGCATGCATCTCAATACCCTGAGGTTGATCCATTGAAATAAGGGATCTCTCTTCAAGTACACTTATCTCAATATCTGTAATAGGACCATATAAGCATCTTGCACAGTGCTGAGAAATCCTCCATCCTGTGTTCAACAAAAATGCAAGATCAAGAAATACATTCTTCTGTGTGTCATCAAGTCCATCAAAACCCAATCTCAACACTTTAAAAATGTCATTGGGAAGAGTTTGATTTAGTTTTGCCAAAGCACTTTCCCACACTTCTTTTCCTCTACCATGAAGATAGCCACCCAACACTTTTAGAGCTAATGGATTTCCTTTACAATAATCAACTACCCGCTTTGATAACTCCAAGTAGTTTTCAAATGGTTGATTTTGCTTGAAAGCGTTCAAACTAAAGAGATGAAGCGAATGATGCGGATCCAATTCTGAAACATGATATGTTGCTGGAGATGCCGAAGCCGAAGTATTTTTAAGCACTTGCATATCTCTTGATGTGATGATAATTCTACTTCCTTCCCCAAACCAATCACATGCTTTGATTAAATCTTCAGCTGTTATTAAATTGTCCACATCATCAAGTACCAGAAGAATTTTTTTACACTGAAGCCTGTTTCTCACAAATTCATATCTTAAATTGTAAGTGTTAATATCCCTATCATTTAATAATTCTTTAAGGCATTTTTCCAGCAATTCATCTGGTCTATTCTTTGCCAGCTGTTGTCTGACATCATTAACAAAGCACTGAGCTTCAAACTTAGCTGCCAAGCTCTGAAATACGGCTGTAGCAAGAGTGGTCTTGCCTATACCACCCATACCCCATATTCCCACAATGCGAGCTTCACTTAGCAACTTTTCAACTTTCTGTATCTGATGATTGATCCCAACTAAGCCTTCCACGTGAATGGATGACTTGCGCTTCAATTTGCTTAAAACATCTTTGACAATGTTTTTGACAAGTTCGTATTCAGGCCTAGCATACATATAAATTAAAATAATGGTTATGTTTAATGCCTAAATTTAAGAAAGAAAATAAGAGCATCATGAGTAGAATAAAAGCTACCTGAAATTCTTTGAATCGCACCCAACTAGGCTTACTGATTTGGTCAAAGCATTTTTCCACTCCTGCACTTTGTTTTGGTCGTGCTTAGATCTCTGTATGAGCTTAGCAAATCCATCTCCAAATTTGCTATTCTGTTTCCGAATATTTGATGGATCTACGTTGTAGAAAATTGGGACAACAAGCCTTCCATACTTATCCTTACATTTCATAATATGAACGAGTTCATCCATACACCATGTTGAAGATGCATAATCTTCAGAGAAAATGATTAAAGATATCTCTGATTCCTCTATTGTTTTAAGAAGGATCGGTGAGATATAATCTCCTTTATCGAGCTTGTGATCCATAAAAGTATGAATGCCCGCTTGGCGAAGTGCCTCGTAGAGATAACTTGAGAAAGTGTGACGAGTGTCTTCCCCTCTAAAGCTAAGAAACACTTCATACTTGATTGCAGGAGGAGCATCAATGATATGAGAAGGAGAAGAAACCGAGGGAATCGAATCAACAGCATCAGCATCTTTACGACTAGAGATGGAAAAAAATCATGAATAATAAATATTGGACTATGAGCAAACCATAAAGTGAACATTTAAAGAACATGTTACCTAGGATCAAGTGGAGAGATTAATATGATAGCTTTAGAAATTGCTATAGCCAGCAAAATCAATACAACTTCTATGAGCGTTAGAGTAAAAGTTGCCTCCATGTGACTATAATCTCTTGCTATGACCTGAAACTTTTCACCAACCTGAAACTAGCGTGATAAAGTAATATTTTTTGGCTTTAACTTCTCAGGAGGTGCGGTGGTTTGGCTCTTGATTAACGTGATAAAAACATCAAACAAAAATATTTAGGAAGTGGGAACAAGTTACGGAACGATTGATGCGAAAATGAAGAACCTCTTTATGGATGAAATAATGCGAAAGAAATAATTCATCATGTGGTCAACTTACTAGTCTAGTGCACCCAACAACTTTACTGATTTATCTGATGTTTCTTATCAATAACTTAATTTATTCTAAAAGAAGCTATATACAGTGAGTAACAATACACGTGTTGAAGGCGAATCAAGCCATGTGTTAATTTCTGGGGAAACTTATATTAAAATCCCACCTGAATTAAATAAAAAAAAATCACTTAAAATGATGTCGTTGCAAGAAATTTTACTAGTTCAAATACTAAATTACTCTTCATGTTTTTTTTTTTGCCCGGTTGGACTGAATAAATTGACATATACTAATACATGTTTGTTTTCTGTGAAAAACAAAACCGTACCAAGCAAGTGGCTCATGAGAAAACAGAATACACCGTGTTAATTTATACCGATGCCCTTTTCATATCGATGTCTTTTTCACGCGTAACAACGAAAAGGGGAGTGATTAAAATGAAAGGAAGAACAAGCACTTTGTGTTTTTATAAAATAAATAAATGGGCCGTTTACTTCATTAAAAAAGTTTGAATAAAATAGACGAAGACTTTAATCTGTAGATCAAGCCCACCCGTACCTTAGAAGGTTTTGGGGCTTTGTTTTTCAGAAGTTAAAGTATAAAAAATTTCTAAATGTTGAAGTTTTATTAGATCTACTACTGTAAGGTAACTATGGAGGAGAATCAATCAACAGCCAGCATAGGAAAAGAAAACAGAAAATCTTTTGCAGAATTTTTCTGCGAAAATTGGCGTGAGAAGTGCAGGAAAAACAGTAGAAGGAGCAGTGGATCCATGGGACAAAGCAAATGAAAGAGAAGAAATGAACCTGGATGGATGTGGAGGGAAGCGAAAGAAATAGCTCTCACAAAATGGCAGCTTCAGAACTTGCAGACTTGCTTTCTCTTGAAACAAGCTCTCCAGTTCGGATTCAGATATCACCAAATGCCCCACTCACATGTATTTATCTCTGTGTTTCAGGGGCTCTTTTTGCAGTTTCCGGGAAGTTGTCGATGGTGTTTCCGCATTGCGTTGCTGCGGCATCATACGACTTGAGCAGCTTTACAAAAAATTTCTTCCTACATATTCCCTTCAATTTTCTTTTCTTTTTTTTCCTTCCTTGATAAATTTAAGATAAGTCCCAAAAACAAGGAAAATTATTTTACATATATCCATATTTTTCTCAATTTTTAAAAATAAGGAGCAAAAAAACTGTAGAGATAACAAATTGAAAATAGTATAGTCATCTGTAAAATGATTTTCTTTAAAAATAAAAAGGGGCCGACATGCATATGGGGCTCTGGCTCTAATAGCTAGGCCATTGATTATGAGCAATGATTTTATTAAAAAAACAGAAGATTATGAGGAATGAAAATGATGAGATTTTTTCGGGAAAAAAAGTAATACTGAGAAGGCAATTCATATATATATATATATGTTTTGTCTTTCACCAAAGATTAAAAATAAAAACCCATTTTGCTGACATTTTTTTTTTTGGGTTTTTATTAGGCATCTATGTTTTTCGTTTAAAAAAATTGGAAAAATGTATTTGCTTGAATATTTTTTTACATTTCATTTTTCAAGTTTTCTCTGCTAAAATTCCATTGGAAAATGCATTGAAAGACCAAGGAGAGGATCGCACGCTCTAAATCGAAAAGGGTGGGTTTTCTATAGGTGAATGAAAAAATTAAATAACACATTTAAGCATAAGCCGATTTTTTTGAGCGGAAAAGCAAAAAGAATTGAGGAAATAAAAACGAAAATGACATGAACCTTTTTTTTTCCTGGAAAAAAATAGGATATGGGTCTTAACTTATAAGGAGTATGGAAATTTTCCATCTTTCATGCCCCTTTTCATACATAACGTTTTTATTTTCATCTTTCACATCTTTTTTCATACATAACGTTTTTAATAACTTCATAACTTAGGCGTATTAAGATTTTTGTATATGTAAAAGATTATGAATTTGACATCAGCTAAAATCTCAGGTTATTAATGCATGTCTTTTGGATTAAAGGAATAGATTGGCTATTTTAAGGCATCATTTTTTGGTACTGGTTACCTCTCACCTCCTCTATCATTCCTGCTTTTGGGGTCAACAAGCCACATCAAGTCGTCCCGCGTTTGAGTTTTGTGAATTGCTGGGTTATTTCATTGTATAACGTACATTTGTTGTCCCGCTCCAGCCCTTTGCTTTTGGAAAAAGTTACGCCCTAGGGGGCTGTGTATCATGCTGGAAGAATTTTAAACTCAATAATAGAATAATTATATACTAACCTGGTCTTTGATATAAAAATTAATTACTAATTTAAATAGATTAAAAAAATAATTAAATTAATTATTTATAATCAATAAGTGTTTTTTTTAAATACTCTTGTTAATCATATGAATTAGCCAAAAAAATTATTTGATGAAACAATATATACAACTATTACAATAACTATATTGAAAAAAATAGTTAAATGTAAGAGACTAAATGTATTGAGATATTATATTTAAAATTAAATTAACTCTTATATTAAAGAACAGTATAATCCAACCCAATTCAAGTATAGAAAAAGATGGGCATTTCATAGGTAAATAGAAAAATGAAGAATATTTAAGCATAAAAAGACTTGAGGAAATAAAAAGGCAAATGCCACTTTTGCAAACTTCATACCCCCCTTCTTATTTCCCACGCATCACGCGCGCCATTGAAGTCAACAAGTCAATCACTCAAGTCGTCCCTTGCTGTGCACTGCTGCATTGCTTTATGTACCGGCCTTTTGCTTTTGGCAACAATTACACTTCAGGAAGACGCAGAGAAGGAGGAGAAAAAGAGGAAGAAGAGAAGGATTTTTTGGTATTTTCTCTATTATTTCATAATTGTAATTTAAAACCTGATCTCTGATAGCAATTATATTAATTCAGAAACCTATTTCACCATTTCATATATTCAAGGATCTTTATTTGTCATTTTTCTATATGGATATTAACTTATAAGGAGTATGATGTTTTCATCTTTCATATGTTTTCATACGTGTCATGTAAGTTTTTATATAAATAAAAAGTCTAAAATTTGGTGTTAGCTATAAGGGGTATTTGGTAACCTTCTAAAAGTCTTTGAAAAAAAAATACTTTAATACAAGTCAAGATAAAATTTTTTTACATATTTATTTTAATTATTTTTAAAAGGTTTAATCAAAACACTCCCGGAATCTCAAAATATTAATATATGTTTTTAATTAAAATAAATAAATTGGCTATTTTTTTAGGCATATATATTAAAAGCTTTTGATGAAAATGGGTTTCACTTTATGAAACTTCATGCCCCTTGCCTCCTTTATCATTCGGTCATTCCTGCTTTTGGAGTCAACAAGTCAAGTCATCCCGTGTTCGTCAGTTTTGTGAATTGCCAGGTGCCCTCATTGAATATTTCGCAGCTTTGTACCGCACCGCCCTTTTGCTTTGAAAAATTACCTCTCGTGGGTCCGCTTATTGTGTACCATTATTTGAGCATATGCTGGTTCGGATGTGTGCCTTTAAAAAAACAAAAAAAGTACTTCAAATACATAAAGAGTCATAATTTGCATGTAATTAGAATACTCGTATATAAATTATACATAATCTAACCCAAAAAAAAAAAAGTTAAGAGAGCACAAATACGACCGACTGCTAAACTTAAAACAATATAATTTAAGTGTGCGTATCTAAAAACCAAGTTGGTTAACCGGTTCAAAACTTTTAACTAGATTGGTCAAAAATAGGTTTAATTACTAGTTTATTAGTTTGATCAGTCAAATTGAGTTGGGTTTCCATGCATAAGTAAAAGCAATTAGAAAGAAGAAGTGGGAACTAAAGGATACTTTAATCACTCTTGTGAAACTTGGTTTTTGTTTGGATTGTGTCTATAATGATTTTCTCAATATTGACTAATTAGAAGCTTTGCATTTCTGGGAATGATTTGCGCTTGTTTTGCTGGAGAGCATTTCTCTTCCCCCAAAACTTCCTTGATAGCATCCTACAGAGAAGCAAAGTGCCCATGGCAGAGTACACGTTTCTTGATCTGCATCACTAACTCAATTTTTAGTCTTATTTCTTCTTTTAAAATTTTTTAAAACTACACATAATTAATAGTTGTTCATCTGAATGTGTGTTGTGAAACACAATCAAAACATTGAGACTCGCATGACAATTGCCCGGAAGTCAAGTTTCTTCTGCAATTTCTTACGCATTGCAACAATGACGAGTTAAGTTGGCCCATGATAAAGCGTTCTAAAAGAAATGTTTTGCCCATAGTGTTTGCTCAGGCCAGATAAACTTGATTTTAATACCAGAAACTTGGACTCCTATACTGTATCTGAAAGATTACATTTTTTTTGGTACGCAAGGAAGATATCAAAAGACAATATCAGTCCCAAATACAAAGAGTGCCAGAGACAATGCATCCATGACCGTGGCTCTAAGCCATTCAGGGGAATGAACATAGGAGACACAAAAGTCACGGCCACACCAATCTCTGGTTGGAACATCCAAACAGTGCTATATCCTTCAGAGTTTGAAGCCCTTCACAGCGTTCAAATCCTGCAAGTGACCTCAAAATCCAAACTTCAGGAATGCTCCAACCTGCACTTCCAATAATATCACTCTTATTTAATGACACTTGTGTCAACAATGACCAGCGAGTGACGTCGTTCAGAACTCTTGTTAAGGTATTATTCACATCATCGTTGCTGCAACATTCATCATCATCATCTTCTTCTTCTTCTTCATCATATTCATCAACCACAACATCGCTTACTCCGCTTTGTGCTATCTTTTTCACTCCCCCA